TCTCTGGTCTTGTTCCATTGCGTCTGAATGGCACTGTGATTCCATTCACTGATTCTGCAAAGAACTTGGGAGTGCATATCGACTCAAATTTGTCCTGGACTGTCCAGGTGAACGAGGTTAGTCGGAAGGTTTATTTCTCCATTCATTCCCTGAGGCGCCTCCAGACCCTGTTGCCTGTGAAGACTAAGATTCACCTCGTCCAAGCGCTAATCCTGCCTCTGATTGACTACGCGGATGCTTGCTATTTGGATGCTACAGAGGAGCTTTTAAATAAACTTGAGCGATTGCAAAATGTTTGTATCCGCTTTGTCTTTGGTTTAAGAAAGTACGACCATGTTTCCGTATTCCGCAATAGGCTCAAGTGGCTTCCGATCCGTCTTCGCAGGAACACTCGCATTTTATGCTTCCTATATAACATCCTCTTCAACCCTGCCTATCCTGCTTACCTTCGGGACCGTTTCTCCTTGGTTCGTCCTCCTGAAGTCCTATCTCGTTCACACCTTAAATCTAATCTTAAAATCCAACCCCATAATACCGATTTTTATTCCTACTCCTTTTCCGTTCATGCAGTGAGACTGTGGAATGCGCTCCCGCCTAACATTCGGGACGCTGAGTCTATCGCTATCTTTAAAAAACGAGTGAGAGAACACTACCTTTCCTCCTGATATGTAAATTTCTTCATTTATATGTATAGTTTATATTTTGTATGTATTTATTTATGTATTGTATGTAGTTGTTTGGTTATTTATCTGTTAGTTTTAAGTCTGTTTCCTATCCCAATTTTCTATTTGTTACTACACACTGAGTCATTATATTATTATTACTTTTCCTGCTCCAGGTCCACAGGAAGAAATTCCAATAGGAATATGTGGTACCTTTGTACTCTAATTTTATGTATGTGTTGTCCTTTATATTGTATGTGTGTACATAAATAAATAAATAAATAAGTTTAATTGGGGTTATCCGAAAAGTTCATAACACAATCATTAAATGTATTGTGGTATATTTAATACGGTAGTTTCCTAAATTTTATTCTAATGTCCATCTGGTAGTTTATTTTAAAACATTAGACACGTATTTTTTCTTTTCTCACAAAATTCAATAGTTTCGACGATATATTCATTTGAAATATCATGTGACGTCACAGCGTGCTACATATTACAGGACGTTGTTGTGACGTAACGACCTCCCACTCCTAAACTTAACCCCATTTTATCTAAGTATTGTAGCAATATACAAGAAAATATGTGTCTAATTAGATTTTTAATTTTCTCACCCTGGCAACTACCCAATAGCAATAGGTAATCAAAAATAACAACAGAGTTGAAATGTAGATATGTTTTAAATTATTAAGTGATATTATCCACTGATATAGTTAATTGCCATTTAAATATTGAAATCATTAACCCAGATTCACATCTCTAACGCCTGATGTCAATAACATCGTCAAGTCATCGACTAATGATTGCGTTGTAATATCTGCCATTATTCATTTGTTTATTGTGATGAGCTGGATTCTGTTACTCATTCGTTGAAACGATGGATTTGAATTTGAAGACTTACGTAGCGTGCACTTAAACTACCTAACCCATTTACCTTTAGGTGTCAGTTATAGGTCAGTAAAAAAGCAAATATCGTTAAGTGTCACTTATCTTGGCTTAGGGTTCGTTAAAATTTGGAAGAGGTTGGTGAAAATGGGCCTAAGTTGACTATTAGCATATAATATATTTGACTGGTACATATTTTGACACTAACCCTTTAGGGTCTACCCCTTACAGTGATTTCTTATCATTTAATTATGACCTCTTTCATATGTACGTACGTCCTGATTTCGTTTGCTTTTTAAATATTAGTATCAGAATACTAGGATCGTTAACAACGACTCGACGAGCAAATTCACAAAACATAGCTAGTATTACTTGATTCAATTTGGGAGTAGGTCGGTATTACAATTAGCATATCTCGTCGATCGAACTAATAAATAACAGAAATAAATGGTCGGAACATTGACCGCGATGTGTTTACTTAATTCGATACTTTATGAACTGTGGGCGGTTTGCCTGACTTATTGTTATCTGCAAAATATTAGAATAACAAACTCATTGGAGGTTTTGTCTTAAATTATTGCGGTTTTTTGATATCTTTAGGTATTTAGAACAAAGTAAATATGTATATTTAATTAAGTAAGTAGGTACAATGGTATACAACATAAAATCAAGCCTTTTATCGCTGAAGGGGTAGGTTAGGTACACGTTACAGCACTGAATGCCATTGTACAATGTAACACCCACTTTTTACTATTTATGTTATGAGTCCCATGTAATAGGGGGTGAGGCTGTTATCATATACCGGACACAATTCCAGACTCCGTGCTACTACTGAGATTAGAAAAAAAGCAGTAATACTTTGCCCGAATCGGAAATAGAACTCGAGACCTCCTGCTTGGGGTCGCGCTTGCGACCACTCAGCTAAGGAGGTATTTTTTTAACGTTTTAGTTCTGGGTTTTTTCTTTATTTTCAGTCAGAGGCAAAAGATCGTTCTTATTTGAAATCCTTTTAGCTAGAAGATCTTCTGGCTTGCGAGTTGAACTAACTTACTAACTTTGGTTTTTATTAATTCATCAGAGAATTGAGTATTTATTCATATTGCAAAAAAATACAATCAAACGAACTGAAATCAAATCAAATTTGACTACACGGTTGGTGCGGTGGCTGGGCAACCGGCTGCCGTGCAACGTGTCACGGGTTCAATTCCCGCACGGGACAACACTTTGTGTGATCCACAGATTGTCGTTCCGGGTCTGGGTGTCATGTGTATGTCAAACGCACCCACGACACAGGAGACGATCCTTGTGTGGGGCAAAGTTTAAAAAAGAAGAACATATAACAGAATGATCATTTAGAATTTTCTATTTCAAGTTTTGAATAATAATTTATAAAACCAAAAAAACTAGCTGATTTTAATCATCTTAATTTAGATATTGTTAAAGTTTTGAATTAAGAAGAAAATTAAGACAATGAATAACTAACAATTTTGAAAAATAGCATTAGTTAGCAAAGTCACTCGCCTTTGTTTCTTTTATAGTCTTGTTGTAATTATGTTTCTTTTTTATCTTTATTTAAGAAAATACGTAATATATCATAATTTTATGAAAGTCATAGTAAACTAGCACTACTAGTACTATATATCATCCCGATAAGCTTGTCTGATCAATAGGCTCACCCCCCATTACATGGGACTACATAACATAACAACACACCTTTTTATCCCCGAAGTGCCGTAATCACTATTAAGTGCCGTAATGTACACATTACGGTACTTATGCCACTTTAGAATGTAACACCCATTTTTCACTATTTATGTTATGAGTCCCATGTAATAGGGTGTGAGGCTATTGCCATATACCGGCCCACATCCAGTCTCCGTGCTACTACTGATTTTTTTTAAAACCAAGTAGTATTTTGCCCGATCCCGGAAATCGAACCCGAGTCCCCTTGCACGGTAGTCGCACTTGGGACCACTCGGCCGCCGAGGCAGTCCATGGGACTCACTCTTAACATAAATAGTGAAAAGTGGGTGTTACATTGTACAGTGGCATTAAGTCCCGTAATATGCACCTCTGCCTAGGCCTAACCGTTCGGGATAAACGGTCGTGTTATGTTATGACTTAATAATTAAAGTCTAAATAAAAATCTTTCGTCATTACTTAGTCAATCAAAAATAAAAATGTTCCAAGTTTAACATTACACACTTTTAGTCGGTAACTAAACAAACAGACTTCAGCACTTCAAGTTTATTACATGAACCGTCTCATTGTTTCATCAAGGTGAAGATTTGAGAAGAATCAATACTTGAAAAGGAATTCTATTATTTTATCTTGAAAGTATAGATTTAAATAAAAGTCAAATATTTTACAACATACCGAATATCACATCATTCTAAAATCAACTTTAACATCACATTACTAGAGTTAGAAATGAAATAATAATGATATTTCCTGGTAATAAAGACATTGACATTGCAACGAAATATAATACTACCCTCAATTACATAAACCCTCGTTTGAGTGTCACAACTGTCTCAGACGTCGCCTGGATAAGACGTGCCCGTCAAATGCAAGACGCTGATATTTTGACGAGCGACTTAAGTTCGGAGTGGGATTGTACTAAATTACGGAAATAGACTACCTAGGTATATAGAACAAATGAAAGTAAGTATATAAATAAAGATGTATCATTAGCTGTTACCTTCGACTTCGTCCGCATAAAATAATGTCTTCTGGCATAAATTGGGCTTTTTTTAAGGGGGGAAAATCATCGAATGTCAGACTCTTACTGACTAAAAACCACCCCGTTCCGACTCCTGAACTTCGAGCCGGAGCCCCAGTAACCCGTTAGGTTCTCCGTGGCTTCGTATCGGCATCAGCCCTATTGGGCCCCATCCGTGGTGGTCTAATGGCTCTTTGGTGGCATAAATGGGGCTTATGAATTAGTCATTAGCAAGGTATATTCTATAGTTGTAAGAAATACCATATATATTACAGAATCGATTCAGTACCTTTTAGATATATATAGTTAGATATATATTTATAAACGTAAGGTTAGAGTGGCTACCGAACAACATCTCTGTTTCGGTTTCCTGGCCAGTCAATAATATCAATAGCATTATTAGGTTTTTCAAACCTTTCTGAAAGTAATTGAAAACGATTATGATGATAGTATATTTTAATACGTATTTTACACATAATAAGGTTTGTTATACATGTCGAAATTATCAAGCAGTTGAGGAGATTACCACAATTTAAGGTAATCCTTCGTTCCACATTAACGTTAATAATATTATAAATGCGAATGTATGTTTGTATCTATGTTTAGAATCCAAACACGTCAAAACGGTTGAAGGGGTCGGGTTGGAAGGCTAGTAGGCTTCTTTTTAAACCACGGGAAGGCGAGTCAATAATATAACTGGCATTAAATAAACAAACAATAAATCTACTCACACTATAATCCGACAGCCTCTGTCTCTTCGCGTCCCTACTCAGCAGGTCATACAGCAGCAACAGCCTCAAGTTCGAAGCCGACAGCTTCGCCTTCGTAGTCACAGGCTGGTTGCCCTGCCTGACTCCATCCCACACATCCACCACCTTATCATCATGAGGGTCTTTGGCCATCTTTATCATTTCCCTTACATCATCAGACAAGTATTGGAGGCTTTCTTCGCTGATGTCATCAATGACGTAGCCATCAGAACGGCTGGATACTTTGACGTCATAGTGGGGTGGAAGATATGGGGCCGATTCTGGACTTGGCTCCATTAGAGGCTTTATTTGGTCCTGATGGATGGATAGGAGAGGTTCTTCTGTCCTCGTTTCTTGGGGTTGAAGGATGGTGTATTGGGCGTGGTGTTCCACTGGCAGGAGTACGAAGCGGTGCTGCTGCGGGTTCCAGGAGAATCTGCTGTAGCTGTAGGGCTTCGGAGGAGAAGGTGGAGCATATAATCCTGGTCTGTGGAATGGTGTCGTCATTTCTGTCCTGGAAATATGTTTTTGTTGGTTATTGAGTTTGTTTCACATTATTGATGTCTTTCATCAAAAGGTTCTTGGTTTTTGTATGTCAAGCAGTAAGTAAATGTATGTGTCTGAGTAGGTGAGTGTGTGTGCGTGTGTAGTAACTTAAATAATCTTGTTCTTAAATATATTATGTACAAATTGATATTTACAGAAACCATAAACTGCTAAAACATTAGTGTCTAAAAATAAAATATTTACAAAAATCTTAAAATTATGTTATAAGATTATTAAAATAAACTTTACCGTCTACAGAATAGAGACTTAGACAAACTTACTTTCTCTCTCAGTACAAAAACTGCTAGAATAGGTAAAGACATATATTTTATGTTAATTTTCAATGAACGAGTTGGTTTAGTTGTTTGAAGAGTGATGACGTCACGGCCACTTGGCAGAGACCTGATCAAACCGTTACCTGTGCCATACGCGATGTGAATTTAAAAAGTAAAACACCGTAATATAAGGAGCTGCGGAAATATATTGAGTTGTTGTTTTGTGGTTTTTTATATGGCAACGTAACAAGTTTTCTTTTGTTTTTTTTTTGAGGTATTCTGTAATGGAGCAAATGATTGGTGATTTTTAAATATGGAGTTTGGATTTATGGCCGATGTATGGCAATAAGCATCACCCTATTACACGGGACTCATAACATATGGTCTGTATATGCTTTTTTTTTTGTATTTGAATAACGTTATCCCACACTAGGCTTTTCTCCTGTATCGTGGGTGCATTTTTTTACAAACATACAATATCAAATACACATGATACCCAGACCCAAAACAACAATTTGTGGATCATACTTATAGTTGCTCCGTGCGGAAAACATAGAATATAAATTTACGTATGAAAAATATAAAAAAAAAATGTAGTAGTAACACCAAAATATGAATTAATTTGTCCGAACTGAAATAGAACCGAGTATTCTAGTAAATCAATTATACGCTCCATCCACGTTATTAGTTGAATACCATAAACGTATTTATTTACAGCATCCTGTAAGATATTATTGCCAAATCATTTTGTCCATTGAACCCGAAAACTGAAAATTATAATTATGTTAAAATATGCAATAGGTATATACAAAAGCCGAAAGTAACCTCTTTGTTGTAAAACCACTCCACCAACTGTTAATGGGTTTGTAGGTCACATACGGTCTGGAGGTCGTGGGCCTAGTGGTGGGTCTCGGAGTAGGCTTAGTTGTAGGCCTAGGAGTAGGCTTCGTGGTTGGCCTCGGAGTAGTATCCTCTTTGACCTCGAAGGCCATCTGATCTGTGATGTGAGATATAATCTGCATCGCGACTGGGAGGTAGGAGTCTGATAACTGCACTTGTTGTTTGGCTGACTCCACCTGTAAAGATAAAATTGGTTGTGTTGTAGTAGAATGCTATTTTCTTGTATAAGTGATAAGAATATTGCCAAGATAAATTTGATGTTCAACGATTTGTTGTTCTAGAACACAGCTGTCTTTATGATTGAATGCAGGGAATATTGTCGCAACCGCTACGAGAATTATTATCTAAAGCTTTTTTTGAGGGGGGAAGTCATATAATGGCTTCTCCCGCATCGGGTTAGGCGAGACGGAGTGTCAGACTTTCAGTAATTAATCAACCAATAAAATGAATTTATTTGCTATACAAAGGTATAGTACGTGACAAGGATGTTATATTATTTAAGATGTACAGATAGCTTTGTTCTATATACTTAATAGGAATGCATTAGAATATCAGTCAAAAATGAATCAGACACAAATATTAATAATTAAATGTATCACAAATCAATTAGGTTTATAATTTAAAAGTTTATAATAATAATTAAAAGAGCTGTCATGAATTAATTGGAATTCATAAAATCAGTAAGTAGCATACACTTTGAATTAGAGTTCGGTGAATGGAAATAGGCCCTTATCCTAATAAAGGAGGTTTCATTACATAGTTGGTGAAATGTGTGTGTAACCTTTAAAATATGCGCCGTTGCCTACCTTTGAGCTTAATATTTGATTTTCATTATCATTAACAGCCTATGAGTGGCCACGGCTGACAAAAGGCCTCCTCTCACACGGAGAAGGTTTGAGCATTCATCATCACGTTTGCTAAACGCGGGTTGGCGATTTCAAACTTATTAATTAATTAGAAATTATAAACCCAGATTTTACCACTTACGATGTTTTCCTTCATCGTTTGTCAGTGGTGTCTAAATAATCTTAGAAAGTACATATAACTCGGAAAAGTCTCCGGCCCACCAGGACACGACACCCACGATACCTATTTGATTACGAAATTCTAATTAGTAGTACTGAGTGTACAGCTGTGCCCGAAGTATTGCAGCCGGCAGATGCATGTTACATAAACTAGTGTATTATGATAACGTAATTTTATGTACCTTGTTATGCATGTATTAAAAAACTATATCTGTACCTATGTCATTTTTTTAAAGAGTAGTGTTTGAGTTTCTTATCCATACTCTTTAGCAACAAGCAACTAGCTCCACAGATAAAACTAATTCTATTTCAACTTCTATGCTTGTAAAGTGCCTTTGTTTCCTGAAGGGTGTCTGCAAGGTCCGAGTGAATAGGTTGCTTATGGAACGACGAGCTCCATCGTAGGCCGTATTATCGCTTACCACCAGGCGAGATAGTGGCCAAAACGAAGGCGCATCAAAAAAAAATTGATCGTGTCATACTGTCAAATTGACAATTTTAACTAACTTACAAATGAAGATAACATAACACCACGCCTTTTATGCCCGAAGGGGTAGGCAGAGGTGCACATTATGCCACTGTAGTACTATGTAACACCCACTTTTCACTATTTATGTTATGAGTCCCATGTAATAGGAGGTGAGCCTATTGCCATATACCGGGCACAATTCCAGACTGTGTTAATACTGAGATATTTTTAAATAATAAGCCCAATAATACTTTGCCCGACCCGGGAATCAAACCATTCTGCCAACGAGGCAGACAATGACAACGAAATGAACCATTTCACAAAAACACATAAATGTGTTGTGTACAAGTAAAAGTGAAATGTTAAAACAATGAGTGTGTCACCAGTGTGTAGTGACGTGTACCGGGTGAGACATAATGAAAGTGACATCCCGGTGAATTATTCAACAGTTCTGCCGCTTCATTTGGTGCCTATATCGGTGGCAAAGATGGCGGCGAAATAAATGATGATAGACAAGGATATTGTTTTTTTTTTGTTTAAGAGGCTTTGTAGTCATTTATAACCCTGTTGTACAGGCCGACTACTTACAACAGAGTAGTTTCCAAAATGTTATTTTAATGTCCGTCTGGTACATTAATTTAAAACTTTAGACACGTATTTTTTCTTTTCTCACAAAATTAAATAATTTCGACGATATATTAATTTAAAATATCGTGTGACGTCACAACGTGTCATATTTTGTAGCACGTTATGACGTAACGACCTCCCACTTTTAAACTTAGCGCCATTTTATCTAAGTATTGTAACTTATTACGAGAAAATTAAAAATACGTGTCTAATATTTTTCATTATCTAACTGACGGACTAATTAGATTTTTAATTTTGATAACCTGGAAACTACCCAATTATCATGACATGGTGACTTATAAAAACTTGTAGTACTTAGGTACAATTAAAAAAAAACATTATTCGTTTACTTACCTGATCCAGTGAAAAGAGTGACAGCGTCACAAAAATCGCCAACGTAATCATTGCGAAGTCTGAAACAAAAATAAATAATTGGAATTAATTAGTGACTCATAATAAACCATTTCTAGGGTTGACCTGTAACTATACATATAATTGTAGTTTGAGATTTGTCCCATTCATCGTCTATTTATCAACATCATAAAATTTTAAGTGTGTGAGAGCCATGCTTCGGCACGAATGGGCAGCTCGACTGGAGTGATACCACGGCCTCACAGAAAACCGACGTGAAGCAACGCTCGCGTCGTGTTCCGTCGTGTGAGTGAGGTTACCGAAGGCCCAGATACCCTCCTCCCTTTCTCAATCTCCCCAATCCCCTACAATTCTCAAACTCCTAATCCCCAAAAGGCCGGTAACGTACTTGTAATGTTTCTGGTGTTCCAGGTGACCATGGGCGACGCCGATTGCTTACCATCAGGTGATCCGTGTGCTCGTTTACCGGCTTATGCTATAGAAAAAACCACAGGCCTCCCAATGACTTCCAGATCAACTGGTTGGAGACATTGTCCACTATAAAATGCCCGAATTCAGTCATTTCGAGAAAAATATACGTGCCTAAGCGGCAGTCGCTCTAACAGCTATCGACAAAAACCTACATAAATAAGTAAATAAGCCTTAGGCCTGAACCCTTAATCTTCGCGTTGTCAGCCTTAACCTGTTCGTGTACACTGTACGAACTCGTAAACAGAGCTCGTAAACTTTAGCACTCGTAAAGAAAGATGTTAAAATCTGACAAGATACAAGCGAGAGGCCCGTTGACTCACTTCTGTAGAGAGGGCAGTGTTTTATTTATTTGGAACAGTTTGTTAAAGATTTCTGGTATTGACGTCGAAGATGTAAATGCATGTTAAACAATGATCAAGTATTTTGAATATCCGTGGTGTGAAGTGTGTGTTTAATGGATGTATAATATTGTATCCCTTGTAGATGGCGATTTCACAGTATTGTTTTTAGGTTGCTAATTTTGAAAAATAAAACTAAGATCTAGTATGCTTATTAAGTTTGTTACTTTGTTTTTATTTCACACTGGGTCGGAGTTATTTAAGATATGATTTCAGTCTCTGGAGATAGCAAAAAGGTTGTCCCGCCGCCACATACGATTATTATTACCTAGTTTTATCTATAACGAATGTTTGTTCTTGACTACACAAGTACTAGGTATGCATTAGGCCACAAAATCCATTACAGTAAAATCAGTTACGTAACCTTCAAAAAATATGTATGTACCTTATAAAAAAAACTTTTTCTGAAATAGCTTTAAAAGAAATCAAGTATTTGCGTCGGTTTCATTATTATACAATGTGTATGAAGTGAACTAGGGACCGAGTACGACATTGTACATTTCGCAAAGTCGAGGTTAGCGAGGTTGCAGGATAATATCGGGACCAATAGGGCTAATGCCGATACGGAGCCGCGAAGGACTTATCCGAGTAGACACGTGGTGTCATTAAGAGACACTCCCTCCCGCCTAACCCAGGCGGGAGAAGACACTCAATGATTTTCCCCCCTTAAAAAAAAGAGCGAAGTTGAAACGTTACCGCGTTTAGTCCTCTGATTGGTTGGTTTATTGGAGCAAGCCAATCAGAGCGTCTAACGCGGCAATGTTTCGATATCGTTCAACGTTAAACAAAATCGTACTAAACTGTCTAATGATGACACGCAAAAATCCTTCTGAGAATAAGAATAAGAATAAGAATAAGAATAAGAATTTTATTTGCTCAAACATGTGTGTGCATACAGAATTAAAATAATACAGCATGCAAGATCTTAGACAAAAGTGGCTTACGACGAGGTGAAAGAAAATTGAGATGATGACAGGGTATGAAAATCTAATTAGTCCGTAAGTTAGGTAATGACACGTATTTTTTTATTTTGTCGTATAATAAAACAATATTTATATAAAACGAATCAAAGTTTAGGAGTAAGGGCTGAAACGTCATTTCTACGTATAAAATGTACATAGAAGTGACGTCACGCGACATTTCAAATCAATATATAGTCGAAAGTATTCGTTTCTGTAAGAAAATAAAAAATACGTGTCTAATGATTTGAAATAATCTACCAGACGGACATTAAAATAATAGTTAGGCATCTACCCTATTCTCCACATTTTCCTGTAAGCCCTTTTCGTGTCTACTTAACTTTGTTTTCAATTCATCCCAAGTAAATTTTATACACAATTTACCCCAGTTAGCACAGTACACCTCTGTTATGATTACCCAGGGTGGCTTGCTAATTACTCCTTTGATGACATGTGTATATGTGACACGTGTATTTTGTCCGTCTGTTCGTGCTAATGTGATGGAACCCGTTTTAATGTGGCTCTTTATTCGAAGTCTGTTAAAATGTTTATCTAAGGAGTACGTATCTTGGAATTTTGTGATGTTTATTATGGCTATGTTCTGTTTTATCTTTGCTAAGTAATTATGTATTTTCATTTGCCTATTTTGTTTTAAGGAGGCTGTAATTTTGAGTACCGTACTTAATATCTATGACAATATTTTTTTATTACGTACGATTAGGATTAATTGTTATTTCGAAATATTATTTATGAAGTACCTACACCAGTTCTGTATTAAAATTTGATATTTAACGTAATTTCTAAGTAGCTTTGATTTTACGTAGAGAAATATTGGTCCAACGACAACAATATGCATAAACAAACAAGCCCAGCAAACCACAACTCTTCTCCCAGCCTAGCACTAAAACAACAAGTTTCTAGAAATTTCTACCTCAATATTATCGGACACCATAATTAAACCACAGATAAATAAACACAGGAATGTCCTGATTTCGATTCAAATCAGCGAAATGCAATTCCGTATCAAGTAACGTATTCTGGGTCATTTCTTAAACGAGTTTGTATATCAACAAGGCTGTATCTAGCGATTCCTGTGCCGACCGTTAGAAAGATCCGGTTCTGACGATGTGGGCCAGTCCTTGTCTATGCCATTGTACAGATAATATAGATATACAGCTTGTTTTCGATAACGTTTATGGTAATAAGGATTTTCTTGGGAATAAATCCTTGTGCCTGAGGCAGATTGTTTGATAGGAATGTTTTGTGTGATGTTATGTTATCTGTGGCATTTAAATATTTAATGCTGACAGCTCTTTCAGACCATTGAGATATTAGATAAATATTTTGTTTGATAGCAAATTAAAATGGTAGCAGTGTAAGCGATTACAAAGTTAACAGTTAATTAATAAATAAATACTTTTAACATGAATCGTAAAAGCTTAATCGACACTTATGTAAGTAATTATAAACAAACTGACCACCATTTTATGAATGCTTTTTAAAGTTTTTAGTAGTGTGGACGTATTAATATTAATGTTTAACCATTTTATTGTGGTAATTAAACATTTTCATTTTAACCAACATATCTGATTTTGTCTTATTTTTCTACATGGTTTACATGGTTATTTAGTATTCTCTTTTCTGTGGTAATGAAAATAACTGATTACACTCTTCTTAAATTCTGTTGCTCAATGAAAACTTATTTTGATCCGGGCCTGAGATTTTTGCAAGGTCGACTACACCCAAGCGATATTCGTATGGAGATTCCATCTCCATCAAGCTGATTATTAAGTTCAACGTAAAAGTATAGAAAATTATGGTATTGTGGCCTGTGGCCATAGGTAAATGCAAATTTGTTGTGGATCAAAAAAATCCTGGTTTTGTCATAGGTCCTCGTGCTTGAGAAGGAATAAGAGAAAAGAAGAATGGCGTGGTATGTATCAATTACAATCGATTACTTTCCGAGCCCAGATTTATTTATATTGCCGATTATTTTAATACCTTTATGAATTGTGTTTCTCTGTCGCAGGGCTGATGTTAATTAATGTCCTAAAACTAAATATTTAATGTGTGGGTCATAAACCACATCGCAACTCGATGCATACCTACACGATAACATCATAAAGTTTTCTGCCACGACAAATCCAGTTTATAAACACCAATAAATAAATAAAACCTCTCTCCTTTTTTGAAGTAAAAGCCAAATAAAACTCCCCTGTCCCTTGCTAATTTCCAAAACTAATTGCCGGGTCGTTGACAGTCTCATGGTATTTTTTAAACCGTAATGACGCAAGCAGTTGCAAGCCAATTAACGCTGCCCTCTAATTATAAGCGGCCATTTTGAAAATACCTTTTCCCTGTATCTAAATAAATTGGCGCGCAATTTCAAATTAAGAATAAAGAGAATTTAGATTTGTTTTTAATTTGTTTCGTTTTGCACGAATTATTCTGCCTATTGGTTGAATCACGTCGAATTATTAATTAATTTTATGCCACAACTGATAATTTTGTTTTGTGAGAATACTGTCGGCATGAAATGTATTTAATTTTGCTTTTAATGAAGCTTTTAAGGGTTTTGTTACGCGAAATTGTTTTAATTTAACAAACAGCTTTGATTAAATAAAACGTACGTTGTAAAATGTTATGATGTTTACGTTTTATATTGAAGTTATTTTTATGTTTTATGAGAATAATTTCGCGAAGGTATTTTTGGCATAGTGATTCTGATTTCGTACATAGAGTTACTGTTAATATACGATTTACACTTAAATTAAATTCGTGTCTACTTTTAGGAGTCTGTTATTAATTATACCACGTTTGGTTTTAAAATAATTTAGCTACATAGTAACAACGTGGCCCTGACCTGTATATTACGTGTATTATGTTCTAATAATATTTTACGGTCGGAAATTTATCATAGGTCAGGATAAGCAAAACTTTAAGTAAATATGTAACTATAATAATAATAAAATCTTTATTCATTATAAGAAATTGGTCATGGTACAGATAAACATCTTAATTTAAAATCAGAGATCTCACTAGGTTTGAATGCCTGTACTAGGAAGAATATCCTGTATCACAGGCGAAATGAGCACTCACAATATTACTAATTCTAGGACAAGTTATTTATATAAACAAATTCCTTAAACTAAATTATAATTCGTACTCAATCATTTCGTTTTTAACTTTGACGTAAGACTACTTACTTAATTGATGTAGTTATCCAAAATTGCATGAGACTACTTAATAATAGCGTGTTATCCAAAGCTATTTGTCCATAATATCGATCTGGACTTCCCGTTAGCGTCGAAGGCGTAAGTGATTCTGTAGCGATAGCGAATCTTTTCAGAGATCAGTTCACTGTGAAATCTTTGTTAGACCCGAGGGATGTGGACAGTGGCGCTGAGCGGAACAACTTAAGGGTTCCGCTTAGCGCTACTCTTTACCGGGCCAAAGATGTGACTAAGGCTCTAAGAAATATGTCGACAGGTAAATCTCCGGGCCATGATGGGCTCAGCGTTGAGCACCTGCGGTATGCTGGGCCTCACGTTTCTAGGGTTTTGGCCATGTTCTACTCGCTATGTGTGAGCCACTCCTATTTGCCCGCGGATTTCATGAAAACAGTGGTAGTGCCTGTAGTGAAAAATAAAACGGGTGATCTCTCTGATAAAAGTAACTACAGGCCTATTTCTCTTGCCACTATTATTGCAAAGGTGTTTGATGGTTTGCTCAACACGCAATTAAATAAATACATCAGAATACATGACAACCAGTTCGGGTTTCGCCCTGGGCTTTCTACTGAAAGTGCTATACTGTGCTTAAAGCACACCGTGAAATACTATGTCGAGCGTAAAACACCTGTGTATGCATGCTTCCTCGATTTGTCTAGGGCGTTTGATCTTGTAGGGTATAACCTTTTATGGGACAAGCTGAAAAGCATAGATTTGCCTCAGCAATTTGTTAACATCTTTCAATATTGGTATGAGCACCAGCTCAATAGTGTTAGGTGGGCGGGAGCAATGTCGGATCCATATCGACTCGAGTGCGGAGTGAGGCAGGGTGGTTTGACTTCCCCAACCCTCTTCAACCTGTACATCAACGGGCTGATAGCAGAGCTTAGTAGTCAACATGTCGGCTGCCACATTGATGGTGTGTGTGTCAACAACCTAAGTTACGCGGACGACATGGTGCTACTGAGTGCTTCGGTGTGTGGTTTGAGACGGTTAATACGGACGTGCGAGGAGTATGCAGGTGGCCACGGTTTAATATACAATGTTAAGAAGAGTCAGTACATGGTGTTTGAGGCGGTGGGGGCGAGATGTCCGAGTAGTGTGCCACAGGTTAAGTTAAATGGTATCCATCTTGCTCGTGTTGACAGTTTTAAATATCTGGGGCATATACTCACCACGGACCTTAGGGATCATGCTGACATGGAAAGGGAGCGTAGGGCATTGTCTGTTAGAGCAAATATGCTCGCCCGTAGGTTTGCGCAATGTTCGAGGGGGGTAAAAGTTGCGCTTTTTAAAGCGTACTGTACTTCACTGTACTCGTGCAGCTTATGGGCTGATTATAGTCAAACTTGTTACAGTGCACTCCGCGTCCAATATAATAATGCGTTCAGGGCAGTGTTGGGGCTATCCCGTCGTTGTAGCGCGTCGGGAATGTTCATGGAGGCGCGCACTGACGGCTTTCATGCGACTATGCGTAAGCGAGCTGGCGCTCTCGTGCGCAGAGTGCGGGCTAGTTCCAACAATGTCCTGGCAATGATAGCGCAGAGACATGATTGTCTCATAATTAGGAATTGCTGCGACAGGCATATTTCAGTGCATATACCACCGAGAGTGCTTTAGTATGTCTGTTTTAGTACCAACATACTGCATGTGTCTGTTTTCCGTGTGTGTATTTAATTTGTATTTGTTTTCTGTATTGTTTTGTCTGTTTAAATGTGCTTACTAACATATTTTTGTAAAGATGTTTCGTATTTTTGATTTTTGATTTTGTTACTAACACAGTGGACCATTGATGTCTTAAATAAATAAATAAATAAATAAAATAAAATAAAAAATTACTATATCATCCTAACAGTATTTATGTAGTGGATAGAAACAGAGTGATGACAAATTGTGTTTCTTTAGGAAACAGAAGAGAAGTAAAGAGCATCCTTTTTTTCAAAGGCCCGGCAACGCATCTATGACTCTTTTGTTGTTGCGGGTGTCCATGGGCGGCGCTGATCGTTTACCATCAGGTGACCCGGTCTGCTCGTTAGCCATGTATTTCATAAAATAGACAGGAAGCAAACAAGCAAATAGATCACTTGATTGTGATGGAAGAAGAAAGGAGAGCAATTATTATGGCACAACTTTGTCTGTCGTCAAGAAAACAATTGACATAGGTTTTAAAAACACTTTAAAATAAATACCTAGGAACATAAATAAGGTTTCAGCTTGTATTGTGATGAACGTGTTCATGAATAATATCAAGTTGACTTTCAACTTCGAGAACTTTCAACTTGTTTATTGTAATGGCTTTTACTGTTTAGTAATAAACTGCTTTGTTACTTCTCTGGTTGTATTTTTTTTGTTCCAGAATCCTAAGTGGTTTTAAAAAGAGTCTAGAACCAACCTTTTGGTTAAAGATTTTTGCCAGCAGTGTTCAAACATTGGTAAAAATTACTAACAAAAATAAGTTCTACTTACGTCGGGAAGGTATAATACTTGTGTCGTGATGCTATGTTATACATATGTATGTTAGTTACATAAAATGAAAGTAAAAAAGGGAAACAACAAAAATTATACCCTCTATTTAAGCGTCAAAGTATTCGTCCGCATCACTATCACAGGGGAACGTTCCCAGGAGACTGATAGCATTGTCATTTTTACATAATAGGTATTAATAATAATAATAATAATAAGCCCATTTATTTCCAACAACCTTAAATAACATTTTCTCTTAATATATAAATAACTATAACTATTATGTCATTGGAACCCCATGCTGGGTAAAGGCCTCCTCCAGCTTATTCCACAATTTTCTATTTCTTGCTTTTATTCTCCAATTTTTTCCAGCTACTTGAATTATCTCATCAATCCACCTGTTCCTTGGATGGCCTCTATTTCTTTTCCCCGCAGGTCCTTTCCATGTTGTGGTTTCTAATGTCCATCTCTTGTCTGTGTATCTCGCTATATGTCCAGCCCATCGCCATTTTTGTGTACGAGCATAATGAAGTACGTCTATTATGTTAGTTTTTTCTCTAATATTCTTGCTTCTTATCTTTTGATTTTTTCTTATTTTTAATATACTTCTTTCCATCGCTTTCTGACAGTTTGTTAGTTTTGTTTTTATTTTTGTGTTATACGTCCATGTTTGGCAGCCATAAGTGAGAGTTGGAAGAATACAAGTATCCATTACAGTCTTCTTCAGGTGAAGGGGGAAATTCCCTTTTAGAATTTCCTTTAGGCTCCAGTATCTTTTCCAGCCAATGTTCACTCGCCGTTATATTTCTTCTTCTTCATTCTTGTTACTGAATGATACTTGTTTGCCAAGGTATATGTAGTTATTTACACATTCCAGTGCTTTGCCATATAGTTTGATGTTGGTGGTTTTGCTGTTTGTCATTACTTTTGTCTTATCTTGGTTCATTATGAGCCCAACTTTTTCGCTTTCTTCTCTCAGTGTGCTTATCATTTCGTCTAGTTTGTCATTGGTTTCGGCAAAAATAAATAATAGGTATTATAGCTACGCATATCTACCGACGGTTTCAATGCAATAATTACTATTAATTATTTAATCACTACGTCAGGCAATATAGTGGTCAAATGTCGGCCGATCAAATAAAAAAAATTAAGAACTATCAGTTAAGTCAGGCTACTGTCTTATTTCGACTTGTTTCTTGAACAAAAATCAGTTCAATATAAATATTATGAGGGCATAATAAAAATGAAGATGGAGAGAAGTTCTAAGGGTTCTCTTAAAACTCCTTTACTGTCTAATTCCTTTAAACAATAACTCATATAAAATAAAGTATTTAACACAAATCTATGAATAATATAAAAATTCCATTCGTTAGTCTGGCTAAATCTCGAGAGTGACGAAACCGATTTGGCCAAATTTGGTCTTGGAATATTCGTCTAGGATAGGTTTAAAGGGTGACAAAAAATTTTGAAGCGGTACGAAATTTGCCGGGTCACCTAGTAAACAATAAACATGCTCTGACAATTATAATACATATGCACATTTTGACATGAGACAAGGGAAAGTCTCATTAAAATTCGTACAGCAATTTGGAAAGAATGCGCAAAGAATAGAAGTTTGGTTGTCGCTGAATGTGACGTTTAGTTGAACAACACTTATTTACATTTACAACTACTTTCCTATCCATTATGACATCAGCAGACATCTAAGTATTAGTGGATATCCAGGTGGTGCAATAGAAAATCATGGTGGTTGATATAATGGTCAAAATCAACAACTGATACTGATCCTAACACAAGATTTCGCGGGTTCGATTCCCGCACGGAAAAACACTTTGTGTGATCCACAAATTGTTGTTTCGAGTCTGGATGTCATTGTGTATGTAAACTTGTATGTTTGTAAACGCACCCACGACACAGGAGAAAAAAAATCCTAATGTGGGGCGACGTTTTTTAAAAAAGAGAAAGAAAGAAAGAAAAAGATCTCTGCATTGGCTGCCGTTTTTCTCTTAGGAAAAGTCTTACTTATAAAATAAAGATAAAAAAGGTCTCTGGATTGACCTCAGTGTTTGATAGAAATTTTATTTCGGCCGATAATCTAAGGCTAAGCTAACATAAAATCACGCAACTATTAATCATTCAAATTTGTTAAGATCAAACGTGCAAAACATGGTGTTGAAAATAAAATTACGAAGGGTTTTATGATCTATACACTGAATTTAGAGCCTATTTTTTTTATGTGGTAAGCCGGGCATAAAGATCTCCTGATGGAAAGCAAACGGTGTCGCCCACGGACACTTGGATTACCAAAGGCGCTACAAGTGCGTTACCTGCCTTTTAGGGATTAGAAATTTGAGGATTGTTGGGGATTCAGGGATTGGGGAAGGGCGGTCATTGGGCCTCCAGTATCCTCAATCACACAACGCAAGCGTTGTTTCACGTCGGGGCGCTCTAAAAAGTTCTTTATGTTACAAAGTAAATAAGAAGTATGTGTTACAGCCGAGGAGTGAGCAATACGATTTGATTAACACACTTAAAATTGAATAATGATTTCCGATTAATCCTACATAATTAAATAAATCAGAAGAAGAGTTTCTTCGTTACGCTTTCTCACTGCATTGCTATGCTAATTTTGTAAATTTTTGGCGACACTTCGATCTCGATCGTACCACAAATGTTAACAAAATATATGAATTTGTTATTTTCTTTAACATTCTGCATAATGAGATCTAAAAATAACAAACTTGAATTATATATTCCATCTTTAAAACAACCCGTTATTTGGTAAAACTCCATTTTTTAACATAACAAAGAAAAAAATACGTGAACAAAAATATGATTAGCGAATTCTTTGTCACTTCTCACTGAACCGTTATGTATCATTCACACGAATAATATAAAAGAAAAAGTAAACAAAAAATCGATGAATCATACAAAAATATCGATTCACGAATTCTATTAATATTAATTTACTACACACCTAAACAGCCTTAATGAAATTTGCATAAAATTAACATATATCATAAACGGTAATAAATTGCATATTTAAAAAAAAAATGCACAAATAATTTATTTAAAAAGACACGAATTATGAAATAATAATTTATCATAAAAATGCACAAATAATAAAATGACAAAATAATTAATTAATAAAAAATACTGACCTTTTTTTCACACTTTTTCGATAGTCACTTGAATTTGGAACGTGTTAGTTTGGCGCGCGTGCGTCGTGCGCCGGCGCAGGCTCGCACTGCGCAGCATCCCCGGGTAGTGACCCCGCCCCAAGCTCAATATGTTGCTAGAGCTGATGATACCGACACATTGCTGTCAATAAACCTGTTCGAGAGTTCACGAGTCCGTTTGTTTGTATGTTTTTTTATATTAAGTAAGTACAGTTCACTGGCAGGTGACTATTGATTATGGGTATTTGTATTGAAAGCCTTTTGAACGGCTTGAAACTAATTGACAACATCTAAGGAATTTGAAACAGAATTAAAATTAAATGGCTATAAAAGTGTTAATCGGAGATACTGACCTTAGATGAGAATAATGTATTGGTCGAATTGTCATATTTGTAACTTCTCTGGTGATGCGGGTGTCCATAAACTTTACTGAGATTACTTTACTTACCGTCAGGTGATCCGGCTGCTTGTTTGACGCTTGACTGATTGTTTAATAATGTTTTTACAAAAAAAAAAACTCTGAATTTGTAAGGTGTATTAGCAGCTCTATACGAAATAAATCACAAAACAGTTGTTTGGTTCATCGACCAAGTATTAGCATACAGGTAAAATTTACTTGTCTTACTCTTTACAGGCCAACACTTAACATTATCGCAAAATATCTTAAGACCCGTCCTATAGCGTCCCACCTCTTTATTTATTAGGGGGCACTTATCATAGTCCTTTTGAGGTTTGGTTGAAATTTTGAAAACGAATTTTGATGTTATAAAGTTGATAGGTAAGGCCTCCTGTAGCTTTGTTCTGTACCTACTGTTATATATTATAAGATCGAAATTGTAATACATAGTATCCAAATTATCAATAGATAGTACTCCGTCCGAATGCTCGACTCCATCTCTACCCAACTGCTTACTAATATCCCGCTACCAATGCGAGAGTGGCAAACCTTATGCTCATTGTCGACTGCCATGGTAGTTGATGATAGAGTTTCTTGCTCGTTCTTCTCCATTAGAATCTACATTTTAAAATGACCACCTAGCTTCACCTAGCTTCACTGACGGACTCACTGACAGACTATTATTTTATTTTGTTTTTATTGACGTTACAAAAGTACCAAATTATGGTTTAAACTGTCAAACACCAAGCGGTTACCGGTGACCGCAACCTATTGTTCTATAATTGTGTCTATAATGACGGTCCTCAACGAGTTAATTGTATTAAATGTGTCTCACCCCCTATTACATGGGACTAATAACATAAATAGTGAAAAGTGGGTATTACATTGTAGGTACAATGGCATAATGTGCACCTCTGCCTATCCCTTCGGGGATAAAAGGCGTGATGTTATGTTGTTATGTATTAAATGTTTTGACTTTGATATAATAATATCATCAATATTATATTTTATAGCAAGTGCCTACGTAGGTTGACCACTGGTAAACATTAAGATCAAACACTGTTGTGTTCAAACCGAGCCCTTATCACCTCACATCAGCCCTTACCAAAACTAAGAATCATTTATACGCCATTAGCCTTAATAACTCGCGGTTCAAGGTTAACTTGATTACTTCTAAAAATATTTCAATCGTGGTACAGTTTAAAACTATAAACTAAACATTGATTTCATTTCATTTGGTTATAGCCCATAATGGTGTCCTCGTTGTACATAAGCCACAATCAGGCACTAATGGGTACAATTTCCAATCGGGGATTGAACCTCATACTTCATGTTTACTCCTACCTTTCTAGGTTCCCGGGGCGAGAATCGTCCGGGTCGTTATAGTCGGTTTATATATCAAAGCAAAAAGAAATAGTCATAGCACGAAAATTGGGCGCATTGAGCAGCCACTACTAATTTTCAATTGGCGCCCCTGCAGTGACGTACGGAAGCAACACAAAAGGGAGCAATCCCTATTACATAGGACTCATATGTCATAGCTGGTGATAAGTAGCCTACATTAAAGTGCCTTTGCACCACTCGTGATTACAATTTTTCTCTATTTTGTTGGTCAGTCAAGTGTTTGTCCGCTTAGCCGCCTGTCTGTTTATCTTATTTATATAGATAAACTAGCGGACCCAACAGACGTTGTCCTGCATATCCACTTGAATGTATAAACAAAAATTCATTCAAATTAGTTCAGCTGTATAGGATAAATAACCTAAACATCGACTGCAGCGCCATCTGCCGGGCTGATTTGTTTGAATCTAAACCATTCCCAGATCCCCTTGAACATACACAAAAAATTTCATCAAAATCAGTCCAGTCGTTTGAGAGAAGTTCAGTGACATACACACTCACAGAAGAATTAAATATATAAAGATTGATAGATACTTACATAACACATACCATTACAATATTTACCCATGATTAACCCGTAGAGGCTTGACACATAACCTATATCTACAAATTACTAAAGCTTTCCAGTTCAAGATCACTGCCACGGTGACCGCGAGCCCGCATAGACTTGGCAGTGTAATTGGAAAGTTGGCAATCACATATAGGTAGGTACATGCGTATATAGACCGGTAACAGGGTTATTATGAAATAGTTACTTATTGATTGCCTAATTAGTAGGTAATTAGGATGAAACGTAATCTTCCAAATTCCAATATAGACTCTGAATTCTATATTTTTAAGTGTGGGGGAGCCATGCTTCGGTACGAATGGGCCGGTTCGACCGGAGTGATACCACGGCCTCATAGAAAACCGACGTGAAGCAACGCTTGCGTTGTGTTTCGTCGTGTGAGTGAGGTTACCGGAGGCCCAATTCCCCCCTCCCCTTCCCCAATCTCCCCAATCTCCCCAATCCTTGAATCCCCAACGATCCTCAAACTCCTAATCCCCAAAAGGCCGCTAACGCACTTGTAACGCCCCTGGTGTTCCCGGTAGCCATGGGCGACGCCGATTGCTTACCATTAGGTGATCCGTCGGCTCGTTTATCGACATATGTCATAAAAAAATTTTTTTTCGGTAACTGTATTGTTAATTTTTTTAAACTCTTACCTACATTATTCATAAAGCACATAGTAAGAAACAAACGCAGTAGTAGTAGTTGTAGCCAATCGATAGTGTCTACTCACATTTCTAGAATAGAATAAAGAAAATCGTTTTCCTAAAATTACGATAGTTTCCTAGACAAGTATTAATACTAGAAGAAGATACAAGGGTATTATTTATACTAGAAGAAAATTAGTTAGGACCAATTTTTCAATCATCAGTTAATTCTTAACTGTACAATAAAATTGACATTTGACAGTTTTTAATATGGAAGTAGTGTCAAATATTTAAAGTTATTGCTCAGTTACGGTGTTGGAAAAATCGGCCATTAATAAACGTAATCGTCTTTTGCTCCTCAAAGGATGTAGACATAGGTGTCCATTAAATGTGGTACTAATTCGCATAAAGCGCACTGCAAACTTCCTTGTGCGTACTGCTAAGGAGTAGAACTCTTTGCCCGAGTCTGTGTTTCCTGAAGGGTATAACCTGGGTGTCTTCAAGGCCCGAGTGAATAGGTTGCTCGTGGGTCGACGTGTTCCATCGAAGGCCGCATCATCGTTTACTAACCAGGCGAGATAGTGATCAAAAGTCAGCCCATGAGACGAAAAAAATACTTCTGTAAGTTTTGTTTAGTATATACCACAAAGAAAATCGAAATCTTATGAGTCATACCACAGCCTAGTATGGCATTTTATTAAGACGTCATCATCTTTATTATTATCATCATCAGAACGTTTCTGCAGTCATCTCAAATAGCTGACCCTTGAGATTGATCTGCAACTCTTCAATATCGAACCACTTCCAACCACTTAGTAACTCCACGATGTACCTAATCCATTAACATCAATAAACATACGAAGTTTAAGTAGGTAGGTATCTACACAATATTCATGCGTTAGGATTTCCCCGAAGGATAAGTCTAAACACTGCTCGAAAATTAATGAGAACCAAGAAACAATTAGAGAAAACATTAATAATAAAATAATAGTATAATTTAAGATCTATGATCGAAGCTAACGAAGTATAAGTCAAAGTCAAAATCAAAGTCAAAGTCAAAATCATTTATTTCAATTAGACCAGGATGGCACTTTTGAACGTCAAACAACAAAAATTTATAAGTGAAGCTAGTTGCTCATTCCAAGGCGTAGATTCCTATGGAGAAGAACGAGCAAGAAACTCCATAGGTTACTCTTTTTCAATCTGGTTTACAATACAATTCTCTAGTTACATAGTTTTATTGGTTCGATTATGTGAGAACAATGCAACACCCAAATCCAGTCAGAAAGACTGAAAAAGAAAATAACCTTGAGGATAATAAAATAAAATGATACAGTCTGGAGCTGACCAGTTCCAATCGACGGTGCCCGTTCACGAACATTTGGCGAAA